GTATCCGGGTATCCAATAAGAGTTCTCATGTACACTAATTTATCTAAAAGAATATGTCTGACTTCATCGTTCATCCAAGAAGCTTTTTTAACTTCGTACTCGATTTCTTTTTGAATATCAGCAACCATGTCTAGAGCCTTCAATAATCACCGGAAAATACATATATTTCACTTGTACATGACAAATATTTTATATTGGATATTACTTAGTTCTTACCGTTTCTAAAATTTTATCCGAGAAATATCGTTTCACGTATTCATACCCTAAAATATACTGGGCCTGTATTTCGTCGATACAATATTTTAATCTGGAAGAACGATTAATATTATTTTGCTTAAAATATTTTAGCTTGAAAGAGAATCGAATTAATCCGTATTACTTTTTTGCATCATCCATTGGTGTGCCATGCCAATCATAGTATAAATCTCTCATTTTTTTCGTACTGGCTTTTATTACTCTACTGAGAAAATTCCAGTGTATGTAATTCACTGCATAAAATTTTATCAACATAATTTTAATTTGTCAATTTGATATATCAACTAGAATTATAATCAGAAGAACAAACAATGTTTACCAAGAGTTCTCTTTGGCGTAGTATCTAATAAATTGCGTAAATTTTTGAAATAATCATAGCCCGAAATGAACGCTACGTCATTTTCTACATCAATTTCCATCCCCCCGTAGGAAAACAAGTCTTGTACTTTCCTCGCCCAATTTACCTACAAAAATCAATTTTCGTGTTACCAGGTTTTCACTTTTTATTCCAACTTAAATATTTTACCTTCGAGCTCGATGTTCTTTCTAAAGAATCATATTTTTCTTGGAATGATTGTAATGTGGTATTCAACATTTCTCCAGGCCTAGATGAATACTATATAAGCAAATATGATTATTTTGTAATAACTTCATTTATTGTTATAAGTAACTGAAAGAAAAAAATTACCTTCATGATATTTATTTGGAATTTAATCAGATCAGCAATGTCTTTCATAAGCTGCTCTTTTGGTATTGGGACACCCCTAGCTTCGGATAACGCTATACTAACATTTAACATGTACTCCGCATATTTTTTTCTCGCTTTTTCAACTTTCTTCTTTGCTTCTTCTTTACTATTATCAGCTTCCTTACTTGCAGTGTCATCGTCAGCGTCATCGTCAGCGTCATCTTCGCTGTCATCTTCAGCGTCTCCGTAATCACCACTGCTGCTATAATCTTGACCATCCGATTCATTATCTTCGCTGTTCTTACTATTGTTATTTTCTTCATCATTTTCTTCCGAGACCTCATTATTCTTTTCATTATAAGTATTTTCAAAATACATATCCTCGTCTTCGTATTTATTTTTTTTATTATTCGTTTCACTATACCATCTTTTAGATTTGTGCAGACTATTTTTCATGTAGTGTTTCATCTTTCGGTCATTGATGTGCTCTTTATTATTTCGTCTTTTATGTATTTTATGGCTATCAATTCTTCTTAATACTTTGTATCTATCTTCATCATCGTCGTCACTCTCTCCTGATCCTTCAGGGTCTTTACGTTCGTGGCTGCCGGGTTCTTGACTTCCTTCCTTACTATCATTGTTTTCATCGCTGCTGTCTGTCTCAGTTTCTTCGACGCTGTAAATGCTGTATATTTTGTAAGGCAGGTGAGGGGTCTTTACCTAAAACATTGAAATATATATTTACTGATTGCTTTATGTTTTCACTGATGCGCGTACATACCATTAGATTCATTTTCATACCGTCCAGGTAGTCTATGTCAATGTGTACATCGTGAAAGCTATTCAGTCCTATCAGAAGAGCATAATAATCATCGACATTTTGCCACATTAACATTTTCTCGTCCCATTCATTTTCTTCCATTATTAACGGCCATCCACCTACTCTCCACATCGTTGATATGAGTGGTTGGAGTCCTTCCTTCTCTCCTTTATCTGTCGATTACATAATTGCAGACGTGATATAATTTTAAATAACTTTGAAATATATCTCTTCTATTCAGTACCTGTGTCCAAACAAGCCTTAAGTGCTCGCTTGGCAACTCGTGAGGCGTAAATCTCTCCAGGCTTGGCTTCCTCTTCGAACATTTCTTTCAATATAAGGATTTTTTTTATTATATATTATAATAATTGTAACATAGTGTTTTCAATAAAAATGCTGAACGAAATTATTATATTAAGCGAAGATTTAATCAAACCTTTGAGACGCTCGTCAACTATCCTTTCAGCCTTAGCCAATAAATTCCACCGCATCTCACCCTTTGGAAGAGGATTATGTTTCGCCCAATTTCCGCATGCATATTCATAGAAATCTTCACACGGATTCGCAGTTTGATTCATGCTTTCTATCAACACTTTTGCTATAAAGGAAAACAAAAAACGATTTAATATCTACGTACATATTTTAATTCAATTTTGTTTAATTTACCAAGTTCTTTGCATTCCTGAGTAGTGCAAACCGATCTCTCGGCTTTCGGTTTTTCTAATGATCGTGAATGCAAGCGATTGCTTATCACATTACACGGGCTGCAGATGAAGGTGACAAACAAAGCGCTAAAATAATAGTTTAAAAAATGCTGCTGCCAAAATACGATTTATTGTATATATATTTGTTATCGCTTTTTTTATGGACATTACTTACGTGCTCCATATGACAGGCTTCATCTCAATGATTTAATTTAACATAAATTACACAAAGTTCAACCACGTGTGCAGAATCCAGCTGCAGTTTGTAAAATGTGCTACTATTCAAATGCAGTTATTGCATTCCATAAGTACTGAATACGGAAAGGCCTTCAATTGATAAGAACTGATAGGACGCGTTCTATATTAATTGTGTAACATCCTCCTCACATATATGTTAATTAAGAATACAATGATTACTTTTCGTTAATCATTTATAACATCTGCTGCATAAAGATTGTAGAAGGGATGGAGTTAAATAAAATCATTTGTTGCTATTCCAAATTTTTATTTAGTAATATATCAAAGCAATTTCAATTATTAATTATAATAAATGTTGACATAATACAATTGTTAAAGTTATGAAAGTAGGAAAGCATTTTTTAATCTCAATGTTGCACTCGTCTGTCGAATGTTTCCTTAATTAAAAATATTACATTTCTTCTTAGGATTCATAGGACTGCCCAATGGACAATTGTATGCTTTAGCGAAATCTTCGGAATTAGATACTGTGCCAATTACTCTTAACGGACCCGGGCTGTGTGTATCTCTTTGTAGAAGTTTCAGGTACTCTTCTGAGTCTGTGACTTCACACCATACCTGCAAATGATAAAACACGTATATTTATTTTAAGCTGATTTATCGTTACTTTAGTGCAATTAAAAAATAAGTCAATAAAACAATTAACTTACATTAGCGAATGAAATGAAGAGTAATTGTTCGTTACTCAAATGCTCTAATCCTGGTAACATAGGGTCTGGTATTTCGCATGTACGTTGTCGTCGTTGATAAGCTTTGAATAGAGCTTGCATCCCCATTGAATCAGCTATGTTCTCAGGTGCAGTTTGTTCACCATAATTCTATAGCATAGAGAGATTATGCCATAAAATTATTTAAAAAGTTTAAGTACGATTTTATAGGAATTGTATACCTTTATTTGAATATTTGCTGTTTTATTATACATGACGCTGTATTTGGTAAATTGATCCATGAAACATTTTGCTCGTTTTACGTAAGCCGCTTCCATTTCACGTGTCCAGTTCGTCGGAGTACCGTATTTGTCGTATGTACGACCTAGAAATCGTCATTTACATATAAACATTGATCTAAGAAAAATGATAACGTCTAATCTTATACAATATTTTACCCATGGTATCAAAACCGTGATTAACTTCGTGACTCATAATAAGCCCAATAATCCCATAGTTAGTATACCTACAATAGTGATTCTTAAGTAAAATACATCTGTTTCTGCAATAATATGAAGTGGGAACATTCATTTATACATACCATGGTTGTCTGTAGTCAAAAAATGGCTTCTGGAAATCTGCTGCTGTTATTTCTGTAATATTACTTCTGTGTATTCAATATTAAAAAGAAGTATTATAAAACATATATTATCGTTTTACCTATAAAATTATCGTCAGGTGAGAAAAAGGCATTTACTATTAAAGGATTCATATCCAATCTGTAATTAAAATGTTATTTGGTTTATTATATAATTTTATTAAAGAGTGTACGCGCTTGACTTACGTAAAAACTTACTGCATGAGAGAAGAATGTTCTCTGAATAATTTTTTTAATCTTTGCATTGAATTATATTTTGTGATGCTTAATATATTATCCTGATGTGAGCTGGTAACGCTCAGCTAGGAGAATGATTAGAATCAATGTAAAACGATTTGACCAGAACAAAGATATAAGAAATAGTCAACTGGAAAATAATTAAGGATGTATTGGCTATACAGTCAATCCCAAAAATTTATGCACTTTAGAAACGCATTTTTTAA